GAATTGAATAGAATCAATACGTAGGACATAGCTCTGAGCACCTGTGTTCCTTCGATCGAAAACCTACACCACCTAAGCATCCGATCGAGCTGTTTCAATGACCAGAGTCTGAAGTGACGAAACCTATGTTAAAATCGTGCTCATCATTCGGATAGATACCGTATCTCTCGCTTACTCCATGAACTACACAATTCGGCTTTCGGTACTCGGGAGCCACCTAATGGTCAGTGATATCCCGTTATGGGCAGCTCTCTCTCCAAGGGTCCAGGGGTATCCACAGAAAATACGGGCGCTTGAGTTCCAAAAGTAGAAGAGTCCTTCACTCGGGCACCCGCGCCAGATGCATCGACGTACTAAAACTCATCACCCTCCTGTCGCAGTGGATATGAGTACCGTAAGTCTTGATGTTCCTTCCGGCCCTCTTCACTTTTTGTAGTATCCCCGAATGCAGAGTCGGCCAGTGTTTTCAGATCTATACAGTAGGTCAGCCAGGAGGAAAGTAGCAATTGTTGCTCTCAGGCCAAAAAAAGCATGCAATGTTGAGAGGTCAGGTGTGATTACTCGAGATGAAGATGACATTCAAAGGTACCATTTATATGTACTCCCGAATCGTCATTTTCGTTAGTAGAGGCGCTTTTCTGTCATGGGAGGCTGGGGTTCCGGTTCATTTCTTCGGTTAGATACGTAGCTTGATGATGCGTATCATATCTCCTTATCAGATACGGTAGTGTGCCCAGAGACTCGAATTCAAGTTAGAACGCTCAGCTGAGAACGGTTCCTGTCACCTGATAGGGACTTCTGAATCCGGGCCGTCGGCGGCCGGAGCCGTTGTTTAGCGTGGTTTGAGCCCGTAGGCTGTGTTACGTAGCCCGACCTCTAATTTACAAGCAACCACGACGACGTTACCCCTCAAACGCGAGCATTGGGACAGTCATGATAAGAGGGCTCCCTGGTCCTCGACTACCTACTCATAGCCGACCCTTTCCTTGAACCAACCTTTCCAACATTGCCCTTTCAATGCAAATAGAGCGCCAATTCAAGCCAACCTCTCCTGGATGGATGCCGTCGTTCGCAATGCGGATTCAGGACAAGGGGTCTGGATTTCATCACCTGTCCCGTTCGGAAGGATCAGTTGTGAAACGTATCGTCAGTTGGCTACTGTCATAATTTCAGTGCGCGGGAGGGATGAATACAATCCGGAAGTAGATCTCCTTCTCCTGTTGGATGCGGGCTTTACAGTCCACTGTCTCAGGTTCGGACATTACGCAAATAGAGATTCGCGGATTCAAAATTTCTTCCGTTCGGAAGGCATTGATGCGTGAAGGTCAAGGTTGATCGTTTGTTTCAACCTACTACTGGATACTGGCTGGATCCATCGTAAATGGTACCGTTGGACGTGGGTCGATGCCCTCCAATGCTTTATACTATCCAAGATCGTTTAGGAAACACCTCTTTGCGACAGCGCAGCGATACACATGCGATATAGAGTTTTAATAATATAACGCCTCCACCTCCGGGCCCCGGTGGTAAGTATGTATTGTCATCTGAAGCACCTCTCCGTCGATTATTGATTATGTCTTCACGCTAGCCCATACTTTTTGTACGTCGTATCCGCTCTCCCGCCCAGTTGGATCGCCCTGAGCAGACATCAAATAAGTAAGTCCATTTATCGCGGATTACGTTTCGTATATCGGAAGTACGGCTTGCGCGTCAGGAAGTGTACCTTCGCGCGCTGAGAAAATTCGTGCTATTTGTCTGTAGCCCAAATCCCCGAATCCGAAAAAAACTCGATCTGAGTATAAAATCCTCCTTGTACCTCACCAGGAGATTACACCAACACACACCGGATCCACAATGCCTCGCCTTTTGGTGTCCTTCGCTCTCGCCTGTTTCCTCGCATCGCCCAGCTTTGCCGCGATCGGCCCTGTGGCTGATCTTGTCATTACCAACGAGGATGTCTCTCCTGATGGCTTTACTCGCGGTGCTGTCGTTGCTGGCGGTAGAACTATTGGTCCCCTCATTGTCGGGAACAAGGTCGGGCTCCATCCCTTTCTTTCATTGTTTGAAAGGAATGGCTAACCTATAATTCCGCAGAATGATAACTTCAAGCTCAATGTCGTTAATAATCTGAACGATAACACGATGTTGCAGTCGACGAGTATCGTGAGCATCACTTTCCAATTCTCCTTTGTTCGCGGTTGGAACTCACGGCCTCTTATTTTCGGTAGCACTGGCACGGATTCCTCCAAAAAGACACTCCGTGGGCTGACGGACCTGCTTTCGTGACCCAATGTCCCATAGCGAAGGGCAAAAGTTTTCTGTACGACTTCCAGGCTCAAGACCAGGCCGGAACGTTCTGGTATCATTCTCATCTTTGTGAGCCAAGACTTCGTTCTCTTTTTCACGCAATAGCACTTACTGAACATAACACTATCTATAGCAACCCAGTACTGCGATGGGCTTCGTGGGGCGATGGTTGTCTATGACCCTCAAGATCCTCACGCCGGTCTTTACGACGTTGACGATGGTACAGTTCCGTCCTTTTTATTGCCTACTCACTGACCAAAGGCTATTCTTATGTCGATAGAGTCTACCGTCATCACACTTGCGGACTGGTATCACACCAAGGCGAAACAAATTACCTTCGGGTAGGTCCTCAACCGTTCACAGCGTCGGTATTACGTACTAATCGTTCTCTATCTATATTAGCACCCCACAGTCTACCCTCATAAACGGCCTCGGTCGGTGGAGTGACGGTAACGCGACTTCACCGTTGACAGTTATTACTGTTGAGACTGGGAAGCGGTAAGATAGCATCACAATCATTGAACCCGTCGCCAATTTGACCTCTTCCTCCAACAGATACCGCTTCCGCGTCGTGAATATTGGGTGTAACCCTAACTACAACTTCTATATCGAGGGACATACCTTGTGAGTATCTGTCAATGTCTAACGTCATTCAACTTACCTACAGGTCTCTTCTAGCAATGCGATCGAGGCCGATTCAGTCAGCCATGAGGCTGTAGCGGGAGATTCAGTAAGAATCTATGCTGGTCAACGATATTCTCTGGTGGTGAGTACTTAGTTGAGTGCAGAGTATTTGCACAGACCTATACATTTGAATCTCCAGGTAGAAGCCAACCAGCCCGTCGGGAATTATTGTAAGCTATAAAGCTGCAAGTTTTTCATCCTCATACCGATACAGTACGCGCGGCCCTTAGGGATCCGAGCCAACCCCAATGCAGGAACGACCGGGTTTATCAACGGCATCAACTCTGCCATCTTGCGATATGTCGGAGCTCCGGAAGAAGAACCTGTAACTTCGACTTTCAAGCCAGCAGCTCCGCTGAGTGAAGCCAACCTCAAGGTGAGTGCGTGAAGTTTAGTTTGGTATCTCCCGTTGATTGAATTTCCTACCTGCCTAAATAGCCTTTTGCCAATCCCGGAGCACCCGGAGAACCTGCGGTTGGTGGAGTTGACGTTGCTATGCACCTTAACCTCGGATTCGTGAGTCTTGCCATACATCGTCGGAGCTACGCTATATAAATTTGTAGAGCAACGGCCTTTTCACAATTAACGGACGTAGTTTCGTCCCTCCACCCATCCCCGTTCTGCTTCAGATCCTTAGTGGCGCTCAAAATCCCAACAACCTGTTACCTGAGGGTATGGTATTCCCACTTCCGAAGAATGCAGTGGTGGAGTTATCTTTTACGGGTGGTTTGCTGGGTATCGAACACCCTATGCATTTACACGGTGTACGTCGTCTCCCCTTTGTTTTCTCTCTATCTAACATTCTCGTTTTTAGCACGCGTTCGATGTTGTTCGCGTCGCTGGTAGCAGCACCTACAACTATGCTAACCCTGTACGTGCTCCTTTGTCGCGAAAAAATCACATCATCTCATCACGATTCCCTTCAGGTCCGCCGCGATGTGGTCAACATCGGAGGGGCGAACGACAATGTAACGATTCGTTTCCGTACCGATAACCCGGGCCCTTGGATTATGCACTGTCATATCGACTGGCACTTGGAAGCGTGAGCACCATTCGCGCTCTGACTGACCCCTCATGCTTTATGCTCACGATTGCTTTGATCAGTGGTTTCTCGGCTGTGTTTGCTGAACGACCAGAAGAGTGGAAGGCTTTGCCTGCGCCTCCCAGTGAGTCGAATTACCGTTCTCAACTCATTTCATTTGTGTTGATCTTTTCCATTCAAGCGGCCTGGGATGACCTTTGCCCGATTTATGATGCTCTCGGACCAGGAGATCTTTAGAATTAGCCAAATTTAGATGTGTTGCATGTCGAACTCGAACGACCTTCGGGCCTTATTTAAAGAACCTTGGATGTTTCTCTAGTGCATTTGATGGATTTCTGGACTATTGAAAAGTCGAAATGGTGGTACCTATAGTTTATCAATATAATGCCGGTTTCCAATTCGTTCGCTCTACTTATAGAACTCGGTCTATCTTGGAGCTCGGATGTCCACTATATCTGGAGTCCCTAGAGTGGCGTTGATAGACCCAAAGGTTGGTTACGTATTGGCTGCCCGCCTAGCTCAATCGGATAGAGCGTCAGACTTTTACGTTCGTCTATGTAGATCCGAAAATCTGAAGGCTGCGAGTTCGACCCTCGCGGTGGGCTACAACGAGATTACGTCCTTTTTTGTTGTCGTTGGGTTGGGTTGGTTCTTTCATTTCTACGAGTACTCGTTTTGAAACGCGAGCCACACCAGGGGCTCTGGGTCCTCGGAGCACAAGAACATGGTACAATGAAGGAGATGGCACACCATATGTTCCAAAAAAATAGAGCATCCAACTGGCGTGGATCCAGACGAAACCTGGGACCCGAAACGTACTCAGGACCTAAAGTTGGGCCCGGCGGAGATACATATGGCACCCAAGTTTGAGGTAGGCAGGAAGAGTGCCAATGGCAACAAGAGCAGTGAGACGCCGAGTATTGTCTCCAATATCTACGCGCGCCAGAGGGATAAGAAAATGGATCGTGATCCGTCGGCGAAGTGCCCCAAGCGTACAAGCAAAGGGTGGAAGTCAAGGAAGTTGGGAGATCTCAAAGGAGCAAGGTGGGGTACGTATGGGGGATCGACGCCTATCTATAGCCAAGCTCTCCTTTTCTGGTGATGTCCGATGAAAGCCATGCTCGTTCTCCGTCCTTCTCGCTCTACATTATCATGAGTGTGGGTGAACTTGCGACCGTCCTTCGGCAGGAACTCCTGCACTTCTATAGTACTGGCTCCATGAGAGTAAACTAGGAGTTTGATTTTGCGCAGCAGCAGGGTCGTTGCCAGGGAGAGGGACAGTAAAAAAAAGTGAGTCTTCCAATACGGAAAATTCCGACCTGCCTGGTTCGAACAGGCGACCCCAAGATGAAGGTGGATTCCCGCAGGGCTTTGCAATTACAGTCTTGTGCTCTTCCAACTGAGCTAAGGTCGGTATACTTACACGGGGCGCAAGGACCAGTGAACATGCGTGCCATGTTCCTTGAATGAACGTGCCATTGAACATGGCACGAACATGAAAGGAATATGGTGAACACAAAGACTTGTTAGGCTCACGTTAAATAATCAATGTTGAAAACCCTTATTTGGTACTTAGCAATTAATAATCTTAACAGTCATTCGCCCGTAAGTTGAGATTATTAAAGTAAACTTACTATAAAGGGACTGCTAAGTCTGTATCAGGTACTAAACCTATGCAAGCTAAGTACTTAGCATTTCGCCTGCTATGTCCTACCTTTGTGTGTACACATTTCTCATCATGTTCGTGCCATGTTCAACAGCACGTTCATTCAAGGAACATGGCGCGCATGTTCACCGGTCCTTGCGTCCCGTGTTACGCTAACAGTACACCATCAACACCGACTTAGACGCGCGTTAATCCTCGTGGTCCAAATTCACATAGTGTGACCTCGCAAAACCCGTTAAATTCTTCCCACAATGAGTCATCGTCATAATCTTCCTACCCGGCCCCATTCGACAATCACGGTCCCTCTGTCTCACCAGGATCTTGGCCGAGCTCTGGCGTACTCTCTTCAGAGGAAGACCTGACCAATGAGCCGAACATTATCGAGCTATCCCAGGCTGCTTTTAGCACAGTGTGTACTTTCAAACTCCCATTAACCACATTTGCTCGAGTGCTCAGAGTTATCCCTCGTTAGGTCTCTCATCCGTGTCAATCTATCAATATGCTGGCTTTGGAGATCGCTTCAAAGGCAAAGGCATCCATGCTGAACGTTAGTTGTGTGGCGTTTTCACACAATGAGGACTGGATGAGTGTTTTGCGGGAAGTGAGTCTCATTCTTTGTACTCATACGCGATTGACATGCTCAATGCATCCCTTGTACAGCTTAATGAGCCTCAAATTCCGGAAGGAAACGAGTTTCTGAAGAAGATTGTGAGAAGTTCAAGTTTGTCGCTACGCTATAGATGTTATCTACACTGAACGAATGTCCTCCGCCGAGTACGAGTTCATACGACAGTGTCCCGGGTTAGCGTCCGACAAGCTTGATCTCATTCCTGTGTTGTCCCAAACCCGTGATGCAGACGCTTCTCCTGAGCCCGACCTGCAGGGAAGTCAACTACTACTACAAAGAACACCCGACTCGATCTTGAAGATTCTATATCTGACCACGGTAACCGCAACACTCCGTTCAAATCCGGCATTGACAGCACCCGGCCTAAGCGGGTGCTCATGGCCTGCACCGAATGTCGCAAGCGTAAAGTCGGGGCGAACCAACAGCGTTTTCTGAAGGTCTTACGAACTGATTGTTTCGCATTGCAACCCCAACCGTTCTGGAGCGACTCGTCCATGCGAAAGATGTCAAACAGACGGACTACAGTGCCAGTACGAGCGCACTACCTTTACGTCGCAGGTACGTGACAGCGTTTTGCCACAGAGAGGTGGTGGGAATGGAGTTTCCGGTCCGAGTAAGGGGGGGGGAGGGGGCCGGAGGCCCTTGAAAATTTTTTGTACCTTCAACCCAAAATATCAGGTTCTGAGGAGTCTCTGAGGCTTATTGTGGGTCTCATAGCAATTCATTTGTTGTGTTGAACACCTGGTAGATGAGTCCAACACCTTGTGTTTGTTGTAGCCGGATACCAATCACCAATGACCACTCCAAGTCAATCTTTGAGATCGCGATTGCCCAGAGTTTGATTTTCTGTAACGAAATTTTCGTTCAAATTTCTTGTTGATTCAATCTTGTGTGTTGTGAGTGAAGCTACCAAGTGTTGATGACGATCTCCGTCTGGACACTGTAAGATACGTGACTATCAACTCGAGACAGTGATGACATCCACTCACAATCCTATCATGAATCTCGAATGAAACCCTGTATATGACACTCATAAAATGCAGTCAGCTAGGCGAGCGTTGGAATGACCTTGAGTGCCAGTATTGGTACTTAATGGTTCCACCTGAACTGCGAACCTGGAGGTGCGTTCGAGTATAAAATCAGAACCTGTTTGATACACTAGTCGGGACTGGCAATAGGTCCATATTTTGACAGAGTGTCAGTTGGAGCTTCAGCGTGACCCGAATAAACCTTGGAGGATGATAAGATAACACCACTCACGATGAGTGAGGTGAGAAGGTAACCAGTTCAACCTGGTTCAACAAGTCTTGATTCTTGGAGGAGACGACAATGTTAGATCTTGTTTACAGTGGGTGCCGGAGGCCTGGCCGGGCGGGCACGGGATGGCGGGAGGGAGGGCTAAACCGTGCAAACTGACCGGTCCAGGTCTGAGCGCTCGGGATCACTAAATTGTACTGATCTCACGGGGGGCAGGAAGCGTCTCGGTTCAGACTGAACCGAGGCGGTCTCGGTTCAGATCAACTCTAGTCCAACTGAAGTCCTCGTGTTGAACGATCAGCGGAGTTTCAATAGAATAGAATAAAAATGTAATTTATTGAACAATTTATCGAATACAACGGTCACAACTACTCATGTACAACGAGCTTTCGATGCCTGATTCTGTGTGCATCGGTATCGGCATCGCGTGGCCGCCGGCGCCGGAGCACAGCCGCCGGTGTTGGTCTCCCTCTCCCCAGCATCACCCTTTGCTCTTCCTCTACACAACTCCGCCCACTCGCCCTCAACAGGTGCAGAGATCGTTTGGAGGGATCTTTGGGGTCCTAGGTGAGTGCTAGTGAGCCCTTTCCTGCAGAAATACAGCTAATATATCAGGAACTTACTTTTCAGCTACATCCAAACTACATCCAACCCAGGGCCTCCATTTGCAGCTCAGATTGCTCAAAAACCTCTGCAAAATCACGGTCATAGAAGAAGGGAAGACTCCTATGGGCAAGATGGATGACCCTGCTCCCCACTTTTTGCAGATGCAGCCCCCCAGCCCAGAACCCCTCGGCATACCCCTCAGCATATACACTTTCTGTGAACGTTTCGATCAGTTCTACGCGCCGAATACGACATGGTCATCATCTCCATGGCAAATAGGTCGATCGCGGCTCGATGATCGCCCCCGGCTACCCCACCCCATCCGAACTCAACTGCAGCGCTCGTCGACTACGTTTCTGCCGTGCTCATCTACACCGGCCAGGGCGCTGCTGAGCTCGTCGACGCCGAACACATTCCAAACGCCACCTACGTCGAACGAAAAAGTCCCAATCGCGTCAACGTCGCGTGCTTTTCCAAGGCGTGTTTCGGACCTCGTTAAGCGCTCGCGTAGACGCTCGTCGATGTGGGATACGGACCCAGTGTACTCGGCGATTTCGAACACGGTGAACGGCACCGGCGAGCAAGCGGTAGTTGACGGATCATCCCCGATTCGAGAACGTGTAGTCTTCGAACTCGATGCCATGCCGTTCCTCACTTCGACTCGCGTCCGACGTTCCGCCAAATCTCGGTCTCGATCGCGTCCGCCACTCCCGCCACTCTTCACGACCATACCTCTCGAGATCAGCCCCAGAGCACAACGTGTTTCCTCCGACACCGTAGTACCGGTCAACGCCGCACGACCTGCGAAACCTGAGTGGATCTACTGTTTCAAGATCAATGGTCCAACAACGTACCCGAATAGTGGCCTATACAAAATCGGACGAACGGACAACTACAGAAGGCGTGCAATCGAGTGGCGACTGCAATGCCCCTCATACGCGCACCGTTGGTTCATGCCGATACGGGTTGGCGATAGCCGGAAAATTGGTAAGCCATTTGTTGCGTTCAGTTCCGGAACAGCGAAAGGAAATCGTACACACAGAGAGTTTGGTTCACCAGGCGCTGCATGAACTGTGCCTGCGTAGACCCCGCGACGAGTGTGTCGACTGCAACCAACGCCATCAGGAGATATTTGAGCTGGAGGAGGTCCCGGGAGTACTTACCTATGAGGATGTCATTGCACCGCTAATCAGGAAGATAGTATCATCAGAAGGCGAAGAGTTTGTAGAGTAGTTTGAATGAACATATCTTGAACCATTCAGTATGGCATGCCAGACTTGAGGGACGAGTAGCTGTCGTCGTACATATTGCTCCCAGAACTCGTGGCGGGCACATGTCGATACTCAGCGTGTTTTGACGCCCTCTCTGTCCTTTGTACTCTCAGCAAGCTAAATCTCCCTGCCTTTTCGATGTCGAACCCAGCAGATACGCCTCAGAACTCTGGAAAC